GGGTTAAAACGTACGTACGGGATCCAGACCGGATATCACCCACCCGACAAATCATTGTTCGGTTGGTACGTAATCCACATGACTCATAGGGTGGATTATCGATTCTTGTGTTCTGCATTAAACTATTTATAGTTTAAGGGCCTGGTTAGAAATGTTGCCTTAGACTAGGAATAGCTAAGAGCTTGTTATAAAACGATTTGGCCTTAGATTAAGAATAATTTAAGAGCATGGTTGAGATATTGAATATCAAATGACTTAGAATAAAATATTGAGAATATCATGAATGTTTGAATCATATATTGTGTGCATGATATCAAATGGTTGATTATGAATTGAGATTCAATTTATGTGGATGTTCGACGCTTTAGATATGCTTACCCAGCTTCACCGCTGAGCGTGTAGTGTGTTTTATTTGCTACACGCAGGTAAACAGAAAGATTAATGTGATCCTGGCGGCAGATGGGGCGAGATTGTCAGGATGGATGTGACAAGTTTTGAAATAATTTATGATATGTCAATATTAAATTTGCTTCCGCAATATTGTTAAATACTTCGTATTGTATATGTTATGAAAAATATTATTGAGATTAATAAAGTGTGTTTGAAAAGTTTTAAATTTTACGATTACCAAGTTAAATACTTAAGTCTGAAAGGGGCTGCAGACCTGGACGGATTAGGGTGTTACAATTTGGTATCGGAGCAAATGGTTTTAAACACGATCTTCGGATCAATGTTTGATTTAAAAATATATATTATATATTTTGGGTAAAAAAAAATTGTCAATCACATCCACAACTCTCGCATCCCTCTGCTCCAGGAAAGGTATGAGAATTTACTTAGTAAATATTGACTGTGTTAAATTCTCATTTGATAACAATTGTTAGTACTGAAATTATATCGAGCATAGACTCAAGTTGAATTTTCGTATTCGGTAAAGAAACAAAAGAATAAAAAATGTATAAACCTCTGATACGTTATCAACGTACGCATTGCATCGTGAATGACGAAGTTGATCTGTACCAGAAAAGTCGCACGGAAGTGAGATGAACCTGAAGAACGATTCGTGTTGATATATGTTGAGAAACATCTGTGAAGCTGATGTCAAAAATTCTCATGTGGACTCAAGGCGATCAAATCGCTGATTCAAACACGAACGTTTAGAATCAATAAACTCTGTTATCTAAAGTATCTAATACTATTATTTGACTCATTAGGACGCATTATGCGATTACTTAATGTGAATTGAAATCGTTCGTTAAGCGACAATTCTTTGTAAAACATCGTTGAAGTACCATACAAGGAATATCGACATTATCCTTAGTATGCATTAACTGACTGAACGACGTTGCTGTTGTCAACTTGTGATGAAGAATTCCTCAACTGAAGACCAATGATGGTAACCTTATAGAGGTGAAAGCAAAGCTGATTTCTAAACCGACCAAGTTCATCTCGAATATATGTGCGAAAACATCTCAAGTGTGAATTCTATTCGTGCGATACCCAAAAAGAAATATCTGAGCTGAAGGAACGTACTAAAAGTATGTCACCTCTCTGATATGAACTTCCTCATATCTCATCGTTCCAAGAAATTGAATTCTTTGTCAATCTTGATCCTATAAAGGACCAATATTCGTAACTCCGTATTTAATGTGTTTCTGTCGAAACTGAAAAACTCAATTATGAAGATTGCCTGACAAAGAATCATCTGATAAAGTGTTTCCTCCTTAGGAGAATACCTGTTTTGTTTATACACGAATCAATGAGACTCTATATCAACTACTATCAGTTGAATAAATCGTTATCCTTTAATTCGTATCATGAGTTATTTGATCAGCTTAGAGGATCCATTGTATTCTCTAAGATTGACTTACGGTCAAGATACTACCACATCCCTGTTAAGAATGATGAACGAACTGACGATCGGAAATTGCTACCCTTTACTACGTATAGATGATTTGTTCGAAGAATCTGTTTGTTGGATATCACCCACCCGACAAATTATTGTTCGGTTGGTACGTAATCCACATGACTCATAGGGTGGATTATCGATTCTTGTGTTCTGCATTAAACTATTTATAGTTTAAGTGCCTGGTTAGAAATGTTGCCTTAGACTAGGAATAGCTAAGAGCTTGTTATAAAATGATTTGGTCTTAGATTAAGAATAATTTAAGAGCATGGTTGAGATATTGAATATCAAATGACTTAGAATAAAATATTGAGAATATCATGAATGTTTGAATCATATATTGTGTGCATGATATCAAATGGTTGATTATGAATTGAGATTCAATTTATGTGGATGTTCGACGCTTTAGATATGCTTACTCAGCTTCACCGCTGAGCGTGTAGTGTGTTTTATTTGCTCCACGCAGGTAAACAGAAAGATTAATGTGATCCTGGCGGCAGATGGGGCGAGATTGTCAGGATGTGTCAAGTTTTGAAATAATTTATGATATGTCAATATTAAATTTGCTTCCGCAATATTGTTAAATACTCCGTACTGTATATGTTATGAAAAATATTATTGAGATTAATAAAGTGTGTTTGAAAAGTTTTAAATTTTACAATTACCAAGTTAAATACTTTAGTCTGGAAGGGGCTGCAGACCTGGACGGATTAGGGTGTTACAGTGGAACCTGGGTCAATCAAAGCAGATATGGATGTATCGAATAAGGTGAACATACCCATAATCACATCATGAGCTGCCTGCTTAGTACGTCCTTGCATCGCATAAGTACGGGCTGGAGCCTTCCCGGACTGAGCGCTCTGTGCCGGCCTTCTCGGTTGACTGGACGCCGCTACCGACTTCTGACTCGGTGCGGGCTGTGCTGCTAGAGCTGAGGTTGCAGCTGCGGGCGCTGTCGGGAACGCCTCACCAGGGTTCGTCGGGCAGTTCCTGCGGTAATGCCCGGCCTGTCCACACCCAAGGCATAGGCTCTGAGTGGACCAGCACTCGCCGGAGTGCCTCCGGCCGCAGAGGTTGCAGATCGAGTTCCGATATCCGCTCTAACTCTGGCTCTTCCCACTCTTCTGAGTGGGTGCTGACGATGCGGCTGGTGCGGACCTACCATTCTTGCTCGAGTGCGAGCTGCTCGGTATGTGAGGAGGCCTCTTGCTACTCAAGCCGGATTTGGATAGCGGTGGCGGTCGAGGATGCGTCGTCTGTGACTGCTCATACTCAGCCTTCCTGAGTAAGGCCGTCTGTAACTCCAACGCCTTCTTGTACAAGTCGTTGATGTCATTCCTCGGTGCGGAGACCAGTCTGGAGGACAAATCAGGGCGTAACCCCTCCCTGAAGCGCTTGTACCTCTTCTCCATTGTCGGCACCAAGTCCCGACCAAACTCGGCCAGCTCATCGAACTTCTGGCGATACTCTGGCAGCGTAAGTTCACCCTGCGTGAACTTCATGAACTCGTCACGCTTCTCCTCCATGAAGTGCTCGGGCACATACTCCTCACGGAAGAGCTCGTCGAAGGTCGCCCACGGCACCGGCTCTGGGATGTTCGCTCCTGCGCGTTTCCACCAGTCGTAGGCGGCATCCTGAAGTAAGGCGATAGCTAGGTCGCCTCTCTGCTCTGCTGGAACTCGTAAGGTCCCGAGTACTTGACTCACACGCTCGAGCCAGCGCTTCGCGGCCATGGGTTCCGCGATCTGGTCACCACAGAACTCCTCGGCTCCGTACTTCTTCAGCTTCTCAATCGTGACCACCACCACAGGAGGTGGCGGTGGCGGTGGTGGTACATACGCCCCGACCATCTGCTGGAGGAACTGGAGCATGTTGGCCGCAATCTGCGGCTGCAAATAAGGAACCGCCTGTGGTTCCTTATTGGGTTTCAAAAGTTTTTGAAACCCAAAATTGGGTTTCAAAAGTTTTTTTTTTTTTAGAACCGTAATGGTCTCTGATACCAAAATGTAACACCCTCCGTCCCGCGAACCCGGTTCACCGCGGTCAAACGTGCCGGAGAGGTTACGTAGATGGTTTTAAGGCCGTTTACAAGGAAAAACCCCTTGCGTGGCTTGTAACGGAAAACCCTTGACATGCTTTATTAAATGATGAGGATGGATTCACTTAAAAGAAGTTTATAGCGGAAATAAATGTAAGTAAAACTGTTAGGTCATAAATAACGTAAATGCGACAAAAGGTGGGTTCATGCCCAAAACGTTTCCATAAATTAAATAAGTAATTCAACCGGCCCGCACTGTCGTTCATCCGCAGCTCCTATCACCCAATCATCCGGGTCAGGCTCCATGGTTCTCTTGCCTACCTGCGTATAACAAAGGGAAAACAACGCTATACGCTCAGCAAAAGCTGAGCGGTAATCTAACAGTAGAACGCATAGCACACTCACATTGATATAGACATGATCGTACCTGAACTAAGTACGAGATACCACATACAAGTTTAACGGGTTAAGGTTTACAATTATCAATGATGTAATACCAAACAACATGATGCATGAGTTACACTGCGCAGGGACCCCCTGCCCTTCAGTGATCATCCCCACGCGGTAGATGAGCCGAGGAACGCCTTAGTCATCCCAATGGAGACTAGAATGTGGGTGATAGCTAAGCCTAGCTACCATGTACGTACACCAGCCCTCATGATGAAAACCCGTTGGATCCCGCAGGTTCCTGAACGGGCCCACGGAAGAGGCGCACTGGGCCCGACCCCTTGCTGTGGTATGCAACGTATGCCATGGTCCTAAACATGCGTCTAGGATATACATGATGATATGAATGCATGGGTTGGAGAGTGAAATTATATTCAACACATGCAAATGTATTCGGTTCCATATGTAAACAACTTGTTCAACATGGCGGACCTGGGTTCAGAACTGGCTGATAATCGATTAACCACATCTGATAATCGATTATCATGTTACGCAGTTCCTGTTCCCAAGTTCCGCAAGCCATGATAATCGATTGTCACCTCATGACACTCGATTGTCAAAGTATTTGTTCAGGACACCCAAGTTCAGAGTGGCCTGATAATCGATTATAGGTATGTGATAATCGATTATCAAAAGAACCAGCCCAGACTTGAGATTCCGCAGGACCCAATAATCGATTATCAGCAAGGTGATAATCGATTATCACGTCTTGCTGAAAAACTAAGGAGTTCAGCGCGACCTAATAATCGATTGTCAAATTGTGTAAATCGATTATTAAGGCACGCTGGTTCCTATTTTTGCCTGTTGGATTTTCATTAAGACGTTGAGGGTTTAAGAAATGAACGTTTATGTTTCCAGCTTACGTATTGATGAGTTTGCAACGTTTTGTAACGTTTATACTAACAAGTGTGAAATCGAAAGGCCTAATAACCGAAAAGTCATGACGATGTGGGTGCACGTAGGTTTAGCCGGTAATCCTATGAATATAACGATATGGTTA